ACCCTCCACCCCCAAACCCACAATGACACCCCCAACCCTGACACCCCACCCTAAACCTGCAGCCCCCCAGTCCCCCAAACCCCACCCAGCCTTCTCGCCCCCCTCACCCTGCATCCCATCCTGCCCAGGTGTGCCCAGGTGTGAGTGAGCACCTGCCCAGGTGTGTGTGAATGCCAGCCCAGCTGTGCCCAGGTGTGTGTGAGTACAGGCACAGGTGTGTGTGAGCACCTGCCCAGGTGTGTGTGAGTGCCAGCCCAGCTGTGCCCAGGTGTGTGTGAGTACAGGCACAGGTGTGTGTGAGCACCTGCCCAGGTGTGTGTGAGTGCCAGCCCAGCTGTGCCCAGGTGTGTGTGGGTACAGGCACAGGTGTGTGTGAGCACCTGCCCAGGTGTGTGTGAATGCCAGCCCAGCTGTGCCCAGGTGTGTGTGAGTACAGGCACAGGTGTGTGTGAGCACCTGCCCAGGTGTGTGTGAGTGCCAGCCCAGCTGTGCCCAGGTGTGCCCAGGTGCGTGTGAGTGCCCCCACCCCTGTGCCCCCACCTCCCTGCGCACCTCATGTCACAGCTGGTGCCCACAGACACAGGGGTGTTCCAGAGCCACCCCCACCCTCAGCCCCACATGCAGGGGGTGGCACGGGGGGCACATGGAGGTGACACATCCCCGTACCCACCCTGTCCCCCCTCCATGTCCCCTTAGGTGCCACGGGGGCTGCATGGAGGTGCCACATCCCCGTGCCCACCCTATGCCCACCCTGTCCCCACCGTGTCCCCCCATGTCCCTGCAGGTGCCAGGGGGGGCCGCGTGGAGGTGCCCCGCAGCGTGACGGCGGTGCTGGGGCAGGATGTGGTGCTGCCGTGCCGGTACCGGGCGCAGGAGCAGGAGCAGGTGGTGCAGGTGACGTGGCTGAAGCGCGTCCCAGGTGCGGTGCCCGCCGAGGTGGCCGTGCTGAACCTGCAGCACGGCGAGCACGTGCTGGAGTCCTTCGCCGGGCGCGTCCTGCGCCACGGGCACGGCGCCCTCGAGGACGGGGCCATCCTCCTGCGCAACGCCGTGCAGGGCGACGAGGGCGACTATGAGTGCCACCTCATCACCTTCCCCATGGGCAACTTCGAGGGCCACCTCACCCTCAGGGTGCTGGGTGAGGGCAGGGGCGCGGCAGGCATGGGGCGCTGGGGAGCGGGTGGTGGCACAGGGTGGTGGGCAAGGGGCAACGGGTATGGGATGGCGGACACGTGCTGGGGGGGAGCGGGCCACGGGCACAGCGTGGTGGGCGAGCGGAGCCGGGCACGGAGTGGCGGGCGATGGGTGGGGACGCCAGTCCCCCAGCGAGCCACGCCTGTGCCAGCGCTCTCACCACTGCGTCTCTCTGCTCTGCCCTCTCCCAGTGCCACCCCTGCCCATCCTGAACCCAGGCCCACCGCTGGAGGAGGGGCAGGGCCGCACGCTGGCAGCCTCGTGCACGGCCGAGGGCAGCCCGGTGCCCTCGGTGCGCTGGGAGACCGAGGTGCGGGGCACCAACGCCACGCGGCGCTCGGCACACGCCCGCTCCGCCTCCGTCACCAGCGAGTTCTTCCTCGTGCCGGGGCGCAGCATGAACGGCAAGAGCCTCACGTGCGTGGTGGAACACCCGGGGCTGCGCCACGAGAAGAGGATCACCCACACGCTCAGCGTCGCCTGTGCGGGCACCGGGCATGGGGGAAGAAGGGGGTGTGGGGCATGGTGGGGATGGGGTGGGTACTGGGGATGTGGAGGGTGTTGGGAACATGGAGGGCATTGGAGACATGGAGGGCATTGGAGACATGGGGGACACTGAAGGATTTGAAGGACACTGGGGACATGGAGGCTGTTGGGGACATTGTGGGCACGGGGGGCATGGAGAGCGATGGTGACATTTGGGGACACAGAGACCACAGGGGGCACTGGGCACACAAGGGGCACTGGGCAGGTGGCACATGAAGGACGTGGGTACCACTGTGGACTGTGGAGGCCACAGGGGAAGTTGGAGACTTTGGTGTGGAGGACCTTGGGGACATGGAGGACGGGGCTTGGGGACACAGCAATGCTGGGGATGAAGGACACAGCGGGACAGCAGGGCCATGGGGGCACAGCAGGATCATGGGGCCTGTTCCCTGGCTGTCCCCTGTTGTCCCCTGGCTGTCTCCTGACTGTCCCCGTGTCCCCAGACCTGTCGGACGCGTCAGTGCTGGGCCACACGGCCGAGTGGCAGGAGGGGATGGAAGGGGCAGCCCTGACCTGCCTGGGGGACGGTAACCCTCCCCCCACCTACAACTGGACACGGTGAGGACACTGTCCCCTACCCTGTCACCTCCCCATGTCCCCCAGGCATGGCTGTGGCCCTGTCAGGGGTTGGAGCATGTTCGTGTCCCTGCTGTGTCCCTGCTGTCCCCTCCACCCCAGCTCTGTCCCCTGCATGTCCCCGTGTCCCTGCCCTGTCCCCTGTCCCTGCCCTGTCCCTCTGTCCCTTCCATGTACCCCTTGTCACTTCCATGTCCCCCTGCCCATGTCCCTGCCCTGTCCCCCTGCCCTGTCCCCACTCTGTCCCCCTGTCC